AAAGGAAAAAATTTGTAAAAAATGCGATAGCTTAGAAAAAAAAAAAAGAAAAATATTTCAAGAATGAGTGATACAAAAATCAAGTAAGATAAAAGATACGGAGGCATCCACTGGATTTGAAATTATGGAGATCTTCAGTGACCACAGCAATAGCAGTTTCAGAAGAGCAGTGAGACACGAAGCAGCACTGAAGACTGAACTAAAGCTGAGTGAGTAGGAATGGGGGAAATGAAAATTTCCAAGAAGATTAGCTGTGCCTTAGGGCAGGACAGAGTTATTTGTCAAGGAAAAAGAACAGCTATAATATTAAAAGTCAATAAATTACAGTAAACAAAACAATGTGATACTGGCATAAAACAGATATGTAGACCAATGAGTAGAGAGCCCAGAAACAAACCCTTGAATACATGATCAAATGACTTTCAACACAGGGGCCAAGACCATTCAATGAGGAAGTACAGTGTTTCAATAAAAGGTAAGAAAATGGGATGTTTACATGCAAAAGGGTGGATCCCTTACCTTAAGTTCTATACAAAAATTAACTCAAAATGGATCAAAGACCTAAACATAAGACCTAAAACTATAAAACTTCTAGAAGAAAAGATAGGAGAAAAGCTTCATGATATTGGATTTGGTTGTGATTTCTTGAATATGATACCAAAGGCACAGGTAACAAAAGAAGAAAATAGACAAACTGGATTTCCTTAAAAATTAAGAACTTGTGTGCATCAAAAGACAGTATCAACAGAGTAAAAAGGCAACACACAGAATGAGAGAAAATTTGGCAATCATTTATATCATAAGGGATTGATATCTAGAATATATAAACAACTACTAAAACTCAACAACAACAAAACCCAATTCAAAACTGGGTAAAAAACATGAAAAGACATTTCTCCAAAGAAGATCTACAAATGGCTGATAAGCACATGAAACTACTTATCAAGAAATCAACTTCACTAATTAGGAAATCAATAATCAGTAACACTAATCACAGATATACAAATCAAAACCACAGTGACATCACCTCACATCCATTAGGATGGCTACTAGCAAAAAAATAGGAAAATAACAAGTGTTGCCAAGGATGTGGAGAAACTGGAATTCTTTTGCACTGTTGATGGGAATGTAACATAATACAGCAATTGTGTAAAATACTATGATGGTTCCTCAAAAATTTAAAAATAGAAATAGCTTCTGATCCAGCAATTTCATTTCTGGGTATATACTCTAAAGAAATGAAAGTAGTGTCTCAAAGACATATCTGTATACCCATGTTCCCAGCATCATTATTCACAATAGCTAAAACATGGACACATGTTAATAGACAATACAACTGTCTGTTAATGGATGAATGGATAAGCAAAATGTGGTGGTGTGTGTATGGGTATATATAGTGTGTGTGTATGTGTGCACATGTACACACATGCACAATAGAATATCAGCCCCAGAAAGGAAAAAAATTTGACATATGCTACTACATGGATAAACTTTGAGGGCATTCTGATAAGTGAAATAAGCCAGTTGTAAAAAGACAAATACTGTATGATTCCACTTCCATAAGGTAAGAGTACCTAAAAAATTGTAGAGTTAGGAAATGAAATGGTGGCTGCCAGGGTGGTGAGATGGGGAAAAGTGTTTCAGTTTTGTAAGATGAAAAGTGATCTGGAGAAGGATGGTGGTGATAGATGGCCAAGAATGTGAAAATCACTGAACTTTATACTTAAAAATGGTTATGACAGTAAAATTTATACTATGTTTATTTTACCATGATACAAAAGAATTGAAAAAATATGCAAATAGATTACGACTTTATAACCTTGGGCCTTACATAGGAATGAAAAATAAACCCTAAATGTCTTCCATAAAAACATAAAACTCACATGACAACCATAACAAATGTTTTAAAACCTTGGGGCTACAAAGGTGGCACATCTTTGGTAATGAGTTTCCTATCCCTGGTCTGGGTATTAAAACATTTAAAAATATAGCTTCCTTCCTCCTTGAAAATAATGACTGGCCAGGCCAGGTGCAGTGGTTTATGCTTGCAATCCCAGCACTTTGGGAGGCTGAGACGGGCAGATCAGGAGGTCAAGGGATCAAGACCATCCTGGCCAACGTGGTGAAACCCCGTCTCTACTAAAAATACAGAAATTATCTGGGCATGGTGGCATGCACCTGTAGTCCCAGCTACTTGGGAGGCTAAGGCAGAAGAATTGCTTGAATCCAGGAGGCAGAGGTTGCAGTGAGCAGAAGAGAGTGACATTGCACTCTAGCCTGGTGACAGAGTAAGACTCTGTCTCAAAAAAGAAAAAAAAAAAAAGAAAAAAAGACAAGACTGGCCAAGACAACACATTTTTAATGTGTTACTACTGTATTGGCAGAAAAAAGTGCTAATGTTATATTACAGTCAATTCCAACACTATTGCCTTGGAAAGGGCTGGCCCTAGAGACTATCCCTTTCTTTTATTCAGAAATGACCAGTGCATCACAAAGAGATTCTTACCACCACCTCTGATGTTCGACCATGATGGTGAAAGATATCTTTCTAGGGTAATTCTTCAAAACCCACATGGCTCTATGGTGGCCAGCAACTAAGGTAGTTGAGAACTACGTATTCATTCTTCAATAATCTTGGCTTTTTTGACATAGAAAATACCTCTTCCAAGGTAAGAGATCCCAATTTCAATTTTGTTTTATTCTTTGTATGTGTCCTACAGTCAGTTCTCATAATTATTTTCTTAATTGGAAAAACATTTAGGGAGACAATTTAATCTGTACGTGACACAGATAATGTTCTTCCTGTTTCTCTTGGAAAATTCAACCGGATGAATAATTATGTAATTATCAGCCTTATATTGTTTTCAAAATTATCTGTAGCTTACCTACTCTTTTCCCTGCTGCTGCATTATTTCCATTCATTCCAATACCATGGGTAGACTAAAATTAAAACACAAAACATCTACAGAGGTAAGTCAACAAAGAATAGAAATGATCAACAAACATGAAATACTTGTAACTTATCACTAAGATGCTGTTGGACTTTTATTTTAAATTATTTAATCCAATTTTTGTTAAATTAATTCAGAACCTGATTCCACATCTAGCAATATTGCGTTTATTATTTAAGAGGGTAAAATTTGCTGGGCGTAGTGACTCATGCCTGTAATCCCAGCACTTTGGGAGGCTGAGGTGAGAGGATCACCTGAGCCTGGGACATCGAGCTGCAGTGAGCTGTGATTGCGCCACTGTGCTCCAGGAGTTTGAGAATAACCTGGGCAACATGGTGAAACCCCATCTCTACAAAGAATACAAAAGTTAGCCAGGCATGGTTACATGTATCTGTAGTCCCAGCTACTGGGGAGGCTGAGGTGGGAAGATTGCTTGAGCCTGCAAGGTCAAGGCTGCAGTGAGCCATGATTGTGCCACTGCACTCCAGCCTGGGTGACAGAATGAAACCCTGGCTCACACACACAGAAAAAAAGCGAGAGAAAGAGAGAGTAAAATTTGCTGACTCAAATGAAAAGTTCTTACTTTTCATTTGATGGAAAAAACATTAAAAATACTTAGCATTTAAAAATACATATTGCTAGGTGCATTGACATGTACCTATATTCCCAGCTACTCAGGAGACTGAGGCAGGAGGATTGCTTGAGCCCAGGAGTAAGAGGCCAACCTGAGCAACATATACATACATACACATCTGATAAACTGTTTACATGAACTTATTTTCAAATTACTGTTCTCAGTTCAGGACTAAACCAGCATTCAAAATTCAACCATCAAGAAGATTTTCTACAAACTAAATAAACATTTTCAGATAAACTTATGAAAACAATAAAATCTTAGCCTTCCTTATTTATGTAAACAGAAACTAAACTTTAAATATGTTGGATCACTACAAGGATAACTATTAGAGCATGTTGAAAGGAAAATACTTACGAAAAAAAATTCTGTATGTTCTAACTGGGGAGAACTTTTCCTAAGGTTTTCTTCCTGAAAACGCTGGAGGTTTGTAGACAGCCCAATTCCAGGGGTCCGAAGCCTGCCTGCTCCACGTGTGCTCTGTAAACTATCTCTGCTTGTGCTCCGGGCCAGTGAAGCAAGAAAACTGATATTATTTACACAACCAACAGGCTCTTTGGAAGCCTTGTTAGCCACTTCTGTGATATCCCGAGCCTCAATTTTGGAAATAACATCAGATCTTTTCCCAGGTGAATCAACTTTAACACCTCGAAAGTGAGTAGTCCTAGAGAAAGAAGAATCAGTTATGTTTCGAACATCCAGTGACTGGAACACATTTTGAGAAGAAGACTGTAGTTTCCCCGACTGAAAACATTTGGACTGTCTCTGTGGTTTCACCAGAGAATTATGTAGCGACCTTGGTGCAGAAGAGCGAAGAGGTGACAAGAGTCTGTTCTTGTGAGGACTTAATTCCCGGTAGTTAACAACTGAAGCCTCTACAGATTCCCCATTCAGCACTCTTGCAACATGCTTGAGATGCTGCTCTGGAGCTTTCAACCCTTTGTCAGCATTAATGAGTAACAACTCCGGATTCACTTTGCATGCACCTTCTAAGCCACTGTTGTGTTCATCAGCATTTCCTTCTGCAAATGAAGCCAGTGAGCCTACTTCAGGTAGAAGCGATTCTTCGGTTACACATTCTTCTGTAGGTGGAAGTAAAACAGTGTCCTCCCCATTACTAGATGGCAAGTTTCCTAAAAAGTGTTTCGTCCGCCTAGGCAGGGATGATCCAAGATGGAGAACAGAGTCAGCAAGCTGTTCGTCATTTCTCAACTCCAAGTGGGGTATCTGAGGAGGCAGTTTGATGCTGCTACTGGAGTGAGACAGTGTGTTATTCTTCCAGTTATTATCTTCCTTAAGAAATTCACCAGTGATAGAAGATATGGGTCTCTCAGCAGGGAGTTGAGTTACCAAACTTGAAATTGCATTCCTGGATGTTTCGGGCAGATACGTGTTCCCAAGAGAAGGTAAACAAGATTGCCCAATGTTGGGGAGAACCCTTAACAATCGGTGGCGAGATGATGCAGTGGAACCGCTAGAAGGTCGAGGAGCTATAGGTGGGTGAGGTTTTACCTTGACAGCTTTCTTAGGCTAAAAGAAAAGAATAAATATACAATTTCTTTACACAGTCATTTTCTCTGACCATTAATAAAAATTAGTGAAGGAAGAAAATGTTACTTACCATAACATACTGGCATTTTACTATCTCAACTTAAAATGTTTAAAAAGAATAAAATATTAAGATTATGATTGAGAAGATGTTATTTTCCCTCACTGAGTACACTTTTCTGAGAATATTAAAGAAAAATAATTTTGTTTTATTTTCCTTACTACTGTTTCTCAGAGTTTTACTAAGAAAAAAATGAGCTGATTATATTAGATACGACATTGCTGACCTATTTTAGGTCCCCAACAATTTTTCCTAGTATACTGAATAAATGTTTCACTAGACTGGTATACAGAAAAAAAGTTATCAGCCAAAAAGAAAAAAAAAGGAGTTAACAGGCCTAAACAGCTATCCTTGAAAAGACTTGCTGGCAAGGTTGGCCTTTGGCTGCCTTCTGGGAACGTCTATTTGAGGAGGTTCAGGAGGGTTCCCATGAACCTAACTGATAAGAGTGGCCCATTGTGCCAAACTGTTTATGCAACAATACAGTTCATGCTGAAGACCTGCTTTACTTCTGGGAGTCTGAACTGTAAACGCTAGACAGAGGATCCCTACATGAAGTGGCCCAGTAAAATCCCTGGGCACAGAGTCTCTAATGAGCCTCCCTGGTAAACAACATTTCACATGTGTTGTCACAACTCATTGACAGAGGAATAAGCATGTCCCATGAGACTCCACTGAAAGAGGACTCTAGGAAACCTGGTTTCCTCTGGATGTGGCTCCATGTACCTTTTACCTTTGCCGATTTTGCTTTGTATCTTTTTGCTGTAATAAATCTTAGCAATAAGTACAACTATATAAAACATACTATAGTCCTGTGAATCTTCCTAGCAAACCATCACACCTGGGGTGGTCTTGGGGCCCTCTGGCACAGATTTTAATAAAAGTACCATAAAAATTCAAGATCTTATAAATAAAGTTGAGAACTAAACATAAGCAATCTTAGCTCTTAAAAATAAGCACAAATGGTAGCAAGCAGGCATGAGGATGGAATGGAATATCTTATGACATACCAATGCTCCCACCTACATAAAATATTAAATATATGAAAATATAAGAAAAGCTGGCTAATTCAGTGGATACCAGCTAAGGCTAGGAAAATTAGAGGAGCTAAGAAGGAAGAACCTTGGAAAGATAAGCCTGCTCCTATTGACGCTTTTATCCTAGAGATGGAATTTTGCTCTTGTCATCCAGGCTGTAGTGCAATGGTGCAATCTCAGCTCATTGCAACATCCTGGGTTCAAGTGATTCTCCTGCCTCAGCCTCCCAAGTAGCTGGGATTACAGTCACCTGCCAACATGCCTGGCTAATTTTTACATTTTTAGTAAAATCGGGGTTTCACCACGTTGGCCAGGCTGGTCTCGAACTCCTGACCTCAGGTCATCCACCCACCTCAGCCTCCCAAAGTGCTGGAATTACAGGCATGAGTCACCGCTCCCAGCCCAATCTGCAATTCTTTATCCAGCAAAAAATTCTTCAAAAATGAAGGGTATGATTTCTGGGCTGTAGAGATTAATGACAGCTGCCTAAAACTGAATTTCTCCATGCTCCAGAAAAGCTACATAGATCAATAACATACACAAATAAAATCACTCATAACCCATGCCTCAGAAAAACTGGGAGACATATAAAATGAACTTCAAAATATCCCACAATTCAAGAAACTCATCTGAGCTCAATGCCTGTGGTAAGAGACAGGCAAGAGTACAGAGCTT